CATTCAAATCGCGATTTTTCAAATGCTGCCCGAAAAATGAGCGTTTCGACCCAAAAGCACTCGCTATAAAAATCGTAACTGTGAATCTAGAACAAGTGGAAACTTAAAACTTTTACAGCGTCTCGAAGGCAATTCAATCTCCAAATTCTGCAAGTTTCTCGTCGGGGACGCCAAAGTTTATTTTTATATTGGCGATTAGCATTAATTAACTGTCCATAGATTGAAGTAACCTTTAGCCTTATGCAAATGGTAACATGCGTTGATGATATTGACCAAGGCAGGTGAGCTTCAAACAGGTTTTAAATAATCCAAGTTGATCGCGCTTGCTGGCACTCCATTAGCAAAAGCACAATTCATTTATCTAAACAAAGGCACGCGAAACAATTAAAAAGGAACGCAGTTTTCGGCTGCTTGACTTATGTAATTTGCCGAAGGAAAAAATAAGGATCGGCCGCTAATTGAAGATTTCCCAATACGCTCGATGTGAATGAGTGGAGATTTAAGATCATGGACCGATCTTGGCCCACTTTTACCTTAGGTGATGATCAGATTTGGTCGATTTCGTAAATTTAAAAAGAAATGGACTCACCCGCATTATGTTGTGGGTCTTCGCTAGTCGGCCCTGAAAAAAACACGCGTTGTCAGTGAAGAAAACCACCCCATTTTGCAGTTGGTTTGTTGTGTGGTCACACAAAACTAATTATATTAGTTAATAATCAGTCAGGTGCGGACTGGTGTATTTATATTAATCATAAAGCAATTAGTCGGCAGTAGATTGTCATTAAAGGGATTAGGCAACCGTCAGCGGTTCAAACTTACCCATACATTAGAGTTAATGTTAATTTGCCGTCTAGATAATGTGAACGTGATAAAGACTTAAGATAACAGCCAAAAACAATGCGATAATGCGTACGTTAACGTTAAGGTTTGCACTATTTGAAAATCTGCCAAGAAATACCCAAAAAGCAACTCACCTTCGCAGGTGTTTTGAATTGGGGGCTAACACTGGTGCGCCCCACCAGTTTTTTCGCTCATTCGATGCACACTTCGATCGATTTCTTTCATTTTCCCGGGCATCTGTGCGCTCAGCCTGCGTCAGCTAAAACCGAAGGTTTTCATCTCAGGACGGCCTGAAAAAACCGAAAATCTTAAGGTGGACAGAAATTTCACTGTTGGTAGAGTTCGCTCGTTGATGACTGGTTTGCCGAAGAAGTGAGTTTTTGTTAGGGCGGGTTCTACCACACTGATATGTTCTTGATTATGGTGAATGCGCCTTTAAAGGGAATGGGCAATTTAGATAGTTTTCTCGAAAATAGCTGTCTAATCTGGAACAGATGGCAACGTGAAACTTTCATAGTCTGTAGAAGAGGCTTGAATCTATAATTGACGAAAAACTTATTAAACTTGTATCGAATTCAGATGTTTGCGGAATTCTTGGAAAACGACCCTAGAAAAACCCATTTACTTGAAAATGTTGTCACTTACGATCGATCGAAACCCGTGGTTGCATAGGGAACTGCCTCAGAAGATGTCGGGCAATACAGGGTGTAAAGAAAAAACAATTTAGTTAGTCTCTGGGTCCGATTGACCGAGAGGCTTGCCAATCTACGGGCGCTTACTCACTTCGATGTAGATGAAGAGCATGAAGATGTGCACCGGCACCTGGCAGTCCTGCTCCTGATGCTGTTCCCCGACTTGCTGCAGCTGAATATATTGACTTGCATCACGGCGTGCAGGGTTTCCATGTTGGGAACCAGCCTGAAATGTTGATTTTTCCACAAAACTCCTCTCCACATTAGCCCGGACTTACCTAACGGCGGCTGGGCGTTGCCCAGGTTTCCATCGTTCGAGTCCTGGATAGTATTTGGGGTCCACATAGTCTAGAGCTTCGGGATTCGGTCACCAAGCACCAGAGCCCCATAGTCTACAGATTGATTGACTGAATGGTTGAAGTGAAATCACATAACTGATTTTCCTTACTTGTCAACTCCGAAAATCCTCCTCAGGGCTAGCAGGTCTTCGGCGAAGCCCAATATGGCGTTTTTCAGCCCCTAAAACCGGACGTTTCGGACCAATTGCCATGCAACGAATTTCCTGCGTGCAGAACGGGTCAGAAGGCGCGAGCGAAGGGCCGGGGGTGATGTCCGGTACCCCATCAAGCCCTACGCCTTATCCATCGTCGTCTTCGGGGCGTAAAGCTTTGTTTACATCCAATCTTCAATGTTGACGTTTTACTCAACGGCTGCCGACCGGATGTGGTGGATCTTAGGTTAGGTCGTCTCGACTGGCGCATATATCGTAACTGACTCCTTGCTTAAATGACATGCGCAAGTTAGTTTGAGGTTACGTTAATCAAAACAAACTTCTATTTACCAAAACGGGTATACATTACGTCTCGGAATCAAACTCTAAATAATAAATAAGCCGCAACGGATAAAAAGTGCCTTTGTCGGCACACTAATTGTAACACCGCGCTAAAGTTGATGTCGCGAGTCACCAGAACACAAACACATAATTTCATATTCATTTGCTGGAGGGTAAATAATTATTTTCATTTGCTTGTAAATACATAACTATTTGTTTAAATGCTTGTAGAATATGAATAACTTATTTTATAAAAGTGTACAAAGTGCATATAAAGATATTTGCACCTTGTGAGTTTGATAATGTTGGTGTATTCCATTATTCGAATTTTCGAGTTATGACTAGACATAATTACTCGCTTTTTGAATATTCGAATACTCGAATTGTTCGAGTTTGATTCCGAGCCCTAATACTTAATACCATAGATAAAGACAAGTAATACATACCCTAATACCCTGATACAGACCACAAAATATCCCCTCTTCTATATGGGTATGTTCTGTGGTACAGACCTAATACATACCCGTTTYGGTAAATAGAAGTTTGTTTTGATCTTTGAATATAAAACTAGTTRKTTTKATWTTSAAAGGTTTTGATTAATGTAACCTCAAACTGACTTGCGYATGTCATTTAAGCAAGGAGTCAGCTACGATATATGCGCTAGTGTCGTCTCGGRGATGTTGKCCAAGCAGCTGATTTTGACAACAACGAACTCTCAAATCGACCTGTGTACTTTCATTTTAGTCCTCAATTGTAATTTTTATCGCTAATTAGAAAGCGCACCTTAATAATTATTAGAAACTCCTTAAGTGGCACTTATCACGCACTATGAGCTGAGATTAGTGTCCGGTTCAAAGCTGCAAAATGAGTGAACACAATGTGGAATTGGGGCTGTTCGGGCTCGTGGCCAACGCTGTCGGGGTGTCCGAGCCTGCCCTGAAATTGCTGCTGGGTGTCCTGGCAGGTGAGCACTGCAAGCCTTTTCAGCGCCAGCTTTTCAAGCCGGTAAATTACAGGCTACCCCTTTGCGCTGATCTACCGAAAGTACCTGTTCAATCAGTCGGAGAACCGGCAGTGCCTGTACTTCATCTCCTGCGGCCTAGTTATTGGGCTTTGGAACTATGGATTCGGCATGTTTCACTGTCTTCTGGCCATTCTTCTAACCTACTTGGCGGTTCACTTTCTGAAGGGCCTCGCCATGGTTGCAGTGGTTTCAGCCTTCAACTTCACCTACCTGCTTGCAGGTAAGACCCAACTCTCACTCATTAGGGAACATTAACCGGCGGTTTCCCCACAGGATACTGCTACTACAGCACGGACTCCTACGACATCACCTGGACGATGCCCTACTGTATTTTAGTCTTGAGGTAATTGGGCGCATTCATGGCAAGTCTAGAGCGTCAAGTAACTGGCAAGCTTGCAGGCTAATGGGAGTGACTTTCGATGTGTACGACGGGACGAGGCCCAAAGAGGAACTGTCGTCAGACGCCCTGAAGACGGCGCTTCCACAGCCGCCCACTCTGCTGCAAATGTTCGGCCACAGCCTCTTCCCCAGCGCCTGCTTAGTGGGGCCCCAGTTCAGCATGCGGCGCTTTCTGGACTTCATCGGCGCCCAGTTCCACTCAAAGGTCTGCGCCTCGTTTCACCTGAGAGCCATATTAACGACGTTTTTGAATTGCAGAGCCCCGAGGGCGAACTGCTGCCCCCCGAGTCGGTCAACTGGGCGCTAGTGCGGTTTTCCATGGGCGTTTTCTACCTGGCGTTTTTCCAGCTTTTGTCCCTGTTTGTGTATGATGACTACATCATATCCGACGATTTTGCCAGCATGGGGCTCATCAAGCGGATGATTTGGCTGGGCGTCTGGGGCCGCTTTATTCTCTACAAGTACATCTCCTGTTGGCTCTTCGCCGAAGGCGCCTGCATTCTGTTTGGTAAGCGCCGCATTCAGCTGGAAAATTCAGACGATTTAATGGCTGCTCGTAGGGATTTCGCATAATGGCGAGGAAAACGGGGTGACCCAGTGGAACGGCGTTCAGAACATCAAGCTGTCGGTGTTTGAAAACTCCACGGAATTCAACCACTACATCATGTCCTTCAACGTCAACACCAACCAATGGGTGCGTCTAACTCCGTCTGCTGTGGCTGGATAGTGGGAAAAAAAGGCTTCACTTTCAGGTGGCCCAGCACGTGTACAAAAGGCTGAAGTTCCTGGGCAACAAACATTACTCTCAAGGGGGCGTGCTGCTCTTCCTGGCGGTGTGGCACGGTCTTCATAGCGGCTACTACGTGACGTTCTGGCACGAATTCATGGTGATGCTGATGGAACGCGACGTACGCCCTGTTTGAAGCGCCCTACAATCCTTTGCCTAATCGACTGTCGTCATTTCAGCTCCAATCGTTGATCAAATCGAGCCCCGCTGCGGACGCCTTCTTGAAGAACCCCATAGTCAAAGCCCTGCTTCAAGTGGTTCTTCGTCTCTACACCTTCATCTTCATGGGATGGTCCTTGCTGCCGTTCGTCTACCTGAAATTTCCCCGGTACTCTCCCTAGTCTAGCAAGCAGCCAAGGCGATTGAATTTGCTTGAAATCCCTGGTTTTCAGCTACTGGAAGGCGTTTTCCAACTGCAGCTTTGCCGGCGTGTTCGTCTTCTACCTGTGGCCCATCTTGTACGGGCCCTTGTTGCGGATGATGGCGAAAAAACGGCGCAAAACCCAAGAATAGGCACAATAAGCTAAGTACTGAGGTGGAGAAAAGTCTGATTTTCAAGCGGCAGTGCGTATAATTTAACTAACATTTAAACAGTAGTTTTGCCATCAACCAACCCTCGTAGACTGGACTGGTGCAAGCAGGACATACTGGTTGCCCTGACAACCACTATGTCTCTCTCACTTGCACGCACAGTCACCTAACGGTTCAAAGCGTTGAATTTACTACGGGGTGTGCCCAATACAATTGGACTGGAGTTCTTTTGCTGTTCGGCCAGCTTATTATTGGAAAAAATCGCATGTTTTCCACACATCGTACTTCAACAGGGATTTTACATTGTCTTTTTGGTAGTGGTTGTTTTAGATGTTTGCCCAATTGCTAGTGGTGTATTAGTAGGTTAGAGAGAGTGGTGAGTTGAGTGTAACAGTCGCACAAATAAAGGTTTTTATTGTTAGAGTTGTGAAGTGAGTCCATATTTGAACTGATCAACACTACATATACATTTATCCTTAAAAAGTATCATACTCTGAAGCTGTCAAAGCTATCACAATTCGAAAATTAGGACGGCCACTATAGAATAATTATTGCTTTCGTGGCAAGTGGAAGGCACACACAGTAAGGCACTTCAGGTATGCAGTTCTGTGGTGGTGCCCCTTTCTAAGATTAAGCCCGTGTAACTGACTAACAGGTAAATAATCTCGCTTACATCAGGTATTTATCACTTACATTAGGTTTATATTAGAGTCGCTTACCTTATCCTACTAACCCTGAATATTTCAGTCATATCCTAGTGGTAAGCGCCTTGATTTCGTCGTCCTCTTCCGAGCTGCTGAGGTACGTGTTTTCAATGTCCGCAAAGTCGTTTTCCTCGTCGTCCTCGTCCTCATCGAAGTAGGGCCGCGTGATCAGTTTCTCTGGAAAAAATCGCCAGAATCCAGAAAAGGCCACAAATCAAGCCGCTAAATTTACGCTTTATCGGCCGCGAGAACACCTCAGTCTCTTTACTTTCGTCGTTCTCCTCCTGATCCTTAAGGTCCTCGAGGTATCCCTCCTGAGACAGCAGCCCGTAATCATGCGTCTTCTTGCGACAGACCACGAAGCAGAAGATTCCCAAACCCAACAGACCGGCCAAAATAAAGCCTGTGGGGGAACGAGAGTTTTTTAAACACCCGGAACGCTTCTCTGGTGAAACTTACCCGTGAGGGTCACAAACGCCAGCCGCGGAACGCCCCAGAAGGTCGTGTTCCTTCTGAGCATGAAAATCACTACTTTCGGAACATCCACCTCGTTAACTAGCACGAGCTTCACGTCCATCACGTACCTGGAGGCTTCCACTATGACAGTGTAGCTTCCCAGGGGGAGTGGGATTCCGTACTTTCCATTGGAGTCCGCGTGGGCTGTGAGGTTGGCTTCACGCACGTAAAGTTTGGCGTTGGGCACTGGATGGTTCTGGTCATCGTGGATGTATCCTGGATGTCGCAAAATATTAGCATTTCCCTTTTTTTTGGGTATTTCGCCTCAAAAATTTTTGTTTTCAGACAGAATTTCCTCACGTCTTTTATTACAGATTGATAGATCGTGCTCCTATTTCGCAATAAGAACGAATTATTTATCAAGAACTATCACCTAGAGGGTATCCTGCGACACACTTAGGCTCAAGCTGTAAGAGAAAA